AAAGCGACATGATAGAGTTATATTAACCTTAAAACTTGATTGTAAAGCATGTTTTTCACTTGCCATGTATCGTAACGTATCGTAGCAAAACGTAAAATGGCGCATGCGTGCTTATGAATTTAATGGTCAATTGGCCCAAGCACGCATGCGTCATGTTACGTTTTGCTACGATACGATACGTGGCTAGTAGAAAACAGGCTTAACAAGCGTGGACAAACTAGCGTGTTGCTAAACTAACCAGGCCGAACAAATAGCTAATGCAGTCGAAATTGCCTTATGAAGATTTCATTTTATGCATACATAAATATTTCTTTGAGTCTAACAAAGTGTATTGAAACTAAAACACCACACGAGTACATACGACTTTTTACAAGTACATACGAGTACATTTTAGTACATACGACTGACATACGAGTACATACGACTGACATACGACTATATAGGGTTCGGGTTAGGGTTAGGGTTATATATATATATATATATATATATATATATGATAATGATAGGATTCTCTGGATTTGTTTTAAATTTTTATTGCTTTCAACTCGGTGCTTCGAGCCTTCGTCAGAATGTGACAATATGTTATTTACAAAGGCGTTTGGAGCGTCGTTGGTTGGTAGTAGTTGGATGGTATAAGATGCGTTGTCATGGTTTCGGGTGTATCGATTACGTTAATGAAATTCGAGTGTTTTATTTTAGTCGTTGTTTGTTGTTTTGGTTTTGTTTAGTTGTGAATAGATGATGGGGATGTCAATATGTCTGTTAATTGTGTTGTTGTCTTTGCTGTACCATGCCTCTTTGAATTCTCGTGCGTGTTTTGTCTGTGCGCGTCCAGTTTGTTTTTGTGTTTGGTCAAATGTGTGGTTGGTATTGTAGGTATTCTGCTGGTAGTGATTTTGGGTCGCGTCGTTTGATGGCACTTTGTTCAGTGAGTCTTGTATCATTTTCTTGAACGTTGTTATGTCTTTGGGTGAGTATTTGGTTTCATGTTGAGCGATGTTCGAATGTCGTTGTTCGGTTTTATGTTTAGTCAAGTTGATTGTTGTTTTGTTTTATTGTGATGTTGTTTATGAATGGTGGATCAGATGCATTTCTATCCGTTAAAGAGTTCCACTAATTTGTGCATACGAACTCTTTAACAGGATTAAAACACACTGCAATACAGAAGAAGCCAAGAAGAATGAACGCAACCACTTATACTCTTACATTCATAAACAACAATTACCCACGAAACTTTATCAACAAAGTATTAAACAAAATACACAACAAACCACAAACTGAAACCTAACGAAGATACAGACGAACCAGTAAAATAGTGACATTACCATATATAAACGGAACATCAGAAATGACATCAAGACTACCCGACCATTCAAAATAAACATCGCACATAAACCAACACACAAACTCAAATCATACTTCACTAAACATAAAGACCGAACAACGACATTCGACAAACCAACGCGGTCTACATGATACCATGTAAAGATTGCCCCAAACAGTACATAGGACAAACGTCCAAGAAAAATTGAAACAAGACTCACTGAACACAAGAATGCCAGAACGCGCAAAAATATACCAGCAGAACATACCTGATACCACAACACATTTGACTGGACAAAACATTGACGCGCACAGATAAAACACGCACGAGAATTCAAAGAGGCATGGTACAGCAAAGACAAACAACAATTAACAGACATATTGACATCCCTTATCATCTATCACAACTAAAGACAAAACCAAAACAACAAACTAATAACACAACGACTAAAATAAAACACTCGAATTTCATTAACGTAATCGATACTCGAAACCATGACAATGCATCTTATACCATCCAATAATACTCAACTATAACCAACCAATCAGACGCCCAAACGCCTACAAAATCTTTGTAAATAATATATTGTCTTCTGACGAAGGTCGAAGCACCGAGTTGAAAGCTTAATAAAATTTAAAACAAATCCAGAGAATCCTTATCATTATCATAATATGCCTGGGTTACTAATTTTCAAATATATATATATATATATATAAGTTTAAAAATTTGTAATCCAGGCATTGAATACATAAAAGATAAAAGTTTCTCCTGATTTTAAATGATTTTTATTGAGCTTTCGACTCGTTGCTTCGAGCCTTCATCAGAATGAAGATATTTATTTACACGTGCTTTTAGCTTGGAGACGTTTAGAGCGTCTAATTGGATGAGTGGGTGGATTAATGTGATTGGATGGGGTGAAATGCGTTGCCATGGGTTTTGGTGTATTGTGAATATGATTGGAGTTAATAATATTAGAGTGTAGTGTTTTAGTTTTGGTGTTGTTTGTAGTTTTTATGTCCTTTTTCTTTAGTTGTGAGTATATGATGGGTATGTCGATATGTCTGTTTATTTTGTCGTTGTCTTTACTGTACCAAGCTTCTTTAAATTCGCGTGCGTGTTTAGTCTGTGCGCGTCCGAGTACTTTAGTTTCTGTCCAGTCGAATGTGTGGTTGTTTCCGTGGGTATGTTCTGCCTACTGAAACAACTAAAAGACAAAAAGAAACTAAACGAAAACGACTACAGAAGAATCCGACCCAATGACGCATCCATCGCCAAATTCTACGGACTACCAAAAATCCACAAAGAAAACAACCCACTTCGACCTATCGTATCCCTTCCAGGATCACCTACGTATGAACTTTCAAAATATCTTTATAACATTCTGTATCCGTTAGTTAAAAACTCACCTCACACCATCAAAAATGCCACCACTTTCCTCGCCAGTATTGAAAACATTAAACTACGACCAGACGAAATCATGATATCCTACGACGTGACATCACTCTTCACATCCATACCACTAGACATCGCCAAACAAATTACAAAGGAACTACTCACAAACGACAAAACTTGGCAAGCTACAACACAACTAGTCAAAAATGACATCCTAGACTTACTCAACCTTTGCCTCTCCACTGAATTCACCTTCCAAAACACATAGTGGGATCACCACTATCCACCTTCCTCGCAGAAGCTATCATGCAACACCTCGAAACACAATCAGTCACAAACAACACAAACATCAGACTATGGAAAAGATATGTCGACGACATCTTTGCCATAGTCAAGAAAGACAAAACTGAACAAATCCTACCCACCATAAACAATACCACAAAGAACATTACCTTTACTTGAGACGAAGAGCACGACAAACAACATACCTTCCTTGACATCCTACTAACCAGAACAGAAAACCCATCCAATCACATTAATCCACCCACTCATCCAATTAGACGCTCTAAACGCCTTTAGGCTAAAAGCACGTGTAAATAAATATCCTCATTCTGATGAAGGCTCGAAGCAACGAGTCGAAAGCTCAATAAAAATCATTTAAAATCCGGAGAAACTTTTATCTTTTATGTATTCAATGCCTGGATTACAAATTTTCAAACTTATATATATATATATATATAGGAAGTTTTGTTTATTTGAGTCTCCGTAAGTAAATCTCCGTAAGTAAGTAAGTCTATATATATATAGTTGTGACCAGTATGTAGTCGTATGTCAGTCGTATGTACTCGTATGTCAGTCGTATGTACTCGTATGTCAGTCGTATGTACTTGTATGTACTCGTATGTACTCGTATGTACTCGTGCGGTTACTTATTCACGATCAACAAAGTGAGGGTAACGAAAGGGCAAGAGCCGTCAAAGCATTGTTAAGACAAATAGGAATCTTTTTGTCCAATTTCTGGTGATTTCGAAATCTCGTGACATTAATGTAATGGAGTTTTTATCTTACAGTGTAAGTGACTTCCATTTTCCATCGCTTTTCTGACAGGGGGACTTGTGAAGACAACGAAAGCCAAGATGTTACACATCTTAGAGGAAGCAGTCAAATTCCAACTGTAGATATTGCAAACATTGGTGATAATAATGCACTAATTGTTGATGCAATGACAGTATTGCAAGCTGCAAAATGAAAATAGAGAACATTTGGTGAATTTGCAGATCAAGTATTTGAATATTTTGTAAAGCTTGCAGAGCAATGCAAGGCTACTAGACTAAACTTTGTTGCTAACAGATATCCAGCAATAAGTATCAAGAATTCAAAAATGTTCTAAAAGAAATAGTGGAAACAAAACTACAGTTGTATAATGTTTTCTGTTTCTACGTAAGTAAACATGCAATTGATTTATCGGTTGAGTGAACAAAGTATCATACTCAATTGACAATATGCAGTCTGGGGCGTAACTAGACTTGAAGTAATGGGGTGTGGAGAAAATTTGCCCTGCAAAAGGGCGTTGCCCACAAAAACAAGGACATGCATTACAATTTCTTGAGTAAACACTATTTCTGAGGACAACGTTTCAGTGACAGTTTTTTTGCAGTGGTTAACATTTTCAGCCAATATGTTTAATTTAGCTACGCAAGTTTCTCATGACAGGTGAGATTTCTCTCTCTCTTCTTGTTCGTTAACAGATTCTTCTTCATCAATCTAAAAAATACCAAAATATAATTACTTTAGAAATAACATTTTAAAAAATTAATTTAATTATTTCAACGTCATACTCAGATATGACAAACCACATCCATATTTTCCTCTTCCTCTGAATCAACTTCATTTATCTTGTTATCTATTTCAAATATTTCCTGGCATACATTGTGCATTTCTAATGCCACTTCAAGGTTTTCCTTCAAGGTAGCATTTTTAAACAGTATTTAACGTTAGAAAACGATACATTGCCTGAAGATTGCTTTGGCATGAAACCCAGACTCCCCGAGTAGCAACATTTTAAGAAATGTAATTTATTAAATTATATATACATATATATATAAAATAGACATTAGCTGTAATTTTTTCGGAGTTTCACGCAGTAGGGCGATCTTCAGGCAACTGACAGATTATTTTTTATTCACTGCATATACAATTCGTTACGAGGTGTTAAATTAACGACGGCATGCACTAAAAAGTTCAGAGCGTTTATTTAAAATTTTCTTTTTATGTCCTTTTAGGATTAGTAGTCTTTTTTCAAAACAAACATGGCAGGTTTTCGGTTTTGTTCGGTGGTGGAAGTTGTTTGATGAAGTCCCTCTTGATGCTGTAGTTTTGTTTGTTTATTTTTTTCACATGTAACAGGGGCAGTTGGAAGGATCTAAAATAAATAAGAATACATTAAAACTTTATGGTATGACCATAATTTCTAATTAGCAGCAATTTTAAAAAACACTTGAGAAAAACGACGATTTTTTTTCAAAAAATCGTTGTTTTTCTCAAGTGTTTTTTATGGTATGAGTGTCCTTCACAACAACAGAGATAGTTGCTTCTGCAACAGAGCAGAATTACAAAGTTTTGTGCAACACGAATTATCAATTATTTCACATAAATTGAACGGCACTTATACAGAACTAACCAGCAATTTTCTAAGAGATCTATAACGCATGCTAAAGACTTTCATTTTATTTACCATGTATATATATAAGTAAGTGACATTTTACTAACCTTAGAAAAATGAAGCGTTGTTTGTGATGCTTCTACAACATCTTGGGATTTTGCCATACCATTGTGTTTATTTGAACTGTGCTTCAAAAAATTATCAGCATTCATTTCTGCACCACAATCTTTACATTTAACCTTTCGTCTATAAATTCGTGTACGTTGAGGTTTTGTTTTTTTTGCGCAGGGCTCCTGAACGTTATCATCTTTAATTCTAGTTGCGCCTCCCTCTTAAGAGAAATTTCAATTAAATTAGAAATGTTCTGAGTAAACATCAAAATTATGACAGCAACAATAAACTCACAGCTCTCCTTCGGTAATTGTGGGTCTACAAACTTCGGTAAATATAACTAACCTTCCATTGAAAAGTAGTCTTTCTCGCCCAAATATACAAAACCGCATAGAATTTGAGGAAATTATTGGATTGAAGCTCGCTTCACGGCTTTCGACAATGCAAAAATTAGCATTAGCATGTTTTTACATTTGCAATCATTGTATCTGTTAGATTTTGTGATGTAGCCATCTACCTTCTTTAGTACATATTGACTTACACCAACAAATAGAGATATTACAGATAACTGTTATGATCACATTTGATGTTCAACGTCAATGTCTATGGTCTACGATCTATCGTACAATGGTTAAATTACTTATATTTATAAAAGATATTACGTGTGGATATATTTGTTTCTTTACTAAATATGGTTAATTTACAATCAACGGAAAGCTATTAGGAACTATAAAAAATATTGTGATTATTGCACATAAATATCTCTTAAAATAATCAATAATTAATTATTTACCAATTACAGGAAGAATATGAGAGCATATTTTAACAGTATCCAGTGGAATCTGTATCTGCATTTATACTTACTTCATCTAACACATCTCACAGACACGTTGCACTGTAGAATTAAGCCTAAATTGTCAAAAATGAAGGTTTGAAGATATTTTGCCGGAAATCAACCTTTAACTTTCATAACGCGTGCCTTTGTTTGCACTTACTCCATATAAAGTCAACAGTGCATTGCGTGTGTCACGTTCATTAAGGCCCATTCACACGATCCGATTTTGTTGGGTCCTAAAACGGCTTGTGTGAACATATATAAAAATGGTTTTCGACTGTTGAATTCGTCAATCTAAAAAATCGTATGGAAATAAAACTTGCTCTGTTTCATTCGACGACATAAAAGGAAGCCGACCAGTCACATTACATAGATCTACAAAAGACGTAGAAACAAGAACGGAAATACGAAAAATACGTCAATAAATGTACTGGATGCCACAAATGGCTGTTCAAACGACTATATGTATCTAAATGAATAAAAAAATCAACAAAATTATTGGGCCGTCTGACCAAGCAATTCAAAGACGGAACCAAAACAATCTGATCCGACAAATCGGAACGTGTGAACTGGCCTTAAAATAGAAAGAAAGCTCTAAACATGGCGAAATATATCTATCAAACGCAATGTTAAAAGTTAAAAAGACCCACATGTAGAATTTCTTTTTCCACCATTAAAATCACCTAATCATAACGTACGTATGAAAGCACCTAAATTGCTGTATACGAAGAGGTGTTCTAAAGGGTGCGACTGTACCGTGCAATTTTTTGCCGACAAGGGAGACTGGGCAGCAATTCCCCTTGTGATAGTAACTTCTAGTTCATAAATCTATACTCAAAGACAAGCATTTTCCTTTAAAATGTTGTAATTAGTATATAAGTTTTGTTTAGATATTTGAACATTTTATCATAGGGGATATTATGTGATAAAGGATGTCAGGCGGCAACATACACATCAATGGCGGTGTCCGTGATTGGCGTTCTTAGCAACAGTCTTCTTATCGTTGTTATTGTTTTGGATCCTCTGCTTATTATAAGACGTGGACCATGGATAACTATTTTTAATTTAGCCATAGCCGATATTATTGCTTCTCTTTCAAAGTTTTTATTTCTTGGTTTGGGATTTGCCTTTAAAATCACAGTGCCAAATGAAATAATGTTTTCCTGTTTTTACTTGTTGATGCTTGGAGCGGCAGGATCATTTTTTCTTTTGACATCACTTACATGGCAGACATACACCACTGCAAGACATTCTATGCACAGTCGACAGTTATTATCTACTAAGAAAATTACCATATTGTGCGTTACAATATGGTTTGTGGCTGGTAGCCTGGGTTTAGGAGAAATTTCACATGAAATTTTCGATATTTCGTTCGAGCATGTGATGCATATCTATATAACCGAATATGCCGTTTTAGAATTTGCTGTTTTCCTCCAGATTATCATGAAGTGTTTCATCATAAAGGAAGTAATGCTAAGTCGACGAAATGCAAATATGAATGGGCAACAACAGAACAGTAAACACCTCGAAATTGCAAAGACAATCGTCATTCTGAATATAGTTTTATTTGTAACTGCCTTTCCATATTTTGTCGCCAAACAAGTGGAATTCATCGAGAGATTAGGGAAAATACAGAGCAGCTATGCTAGACATTTTGCAGAGCACTATGAACCAGTTGCTTTGTTGAATTTTGCTCTCAATCCAATCTTATACGAACTTAGGCTTACGAATTATCGTAACAGTCTTAAATCATTGTTTAAATGCTTTCCAATTTCTAAAGGTAATATGCACACAGATATTTCTTGTAAGACGACAATGTTGTAAATAAAATGAATAATTCAATTTGATTTGTTGAGAATTGAAACACAAAACCTCGATCATAATATACGGACTAAAATGAGGAGTTTAATCGTAAGTAGTAAAAATATGAGTGAAAGTTATTTTAAAATCTGCTCTGATAAGATGTACAAGAGTATCTTAAATACACAAATACGACTTTTTGATAAATATATTATAAGCTCTTAATAACCGAGCTTGAGGTCTTTACGAGAACGTTCTCAATCCGTAAAAATAACAGAGGCCCGACATTTTTCATTAAAAAATCGGAAAAATAGAGGCGAATAAATTTAATTTAATTATGTGGCATAACTTAATTTGAAACAAGGCTTTCTTTCCTTTTCATCCTGGCTTTTTTGTATAGGGGATGACTTTCGCTTCTTTAGTTTTCGTCAATAAAAAATAAATCGTCATAAATTGTGTTGTCTGAATAATTTAAAACACTTTCCGAATGTTTTCCTTCGTCTCACAATCGTATTCTTGACTTGCAACCATTCTCTTGAGATTTATCAAACAGTTTTGATCGCACACGCAGGCTGGTGCCGACAATAGCGCTGATAAAATTTTCTTTTGTATCATACCACAAACATGGCTGAATTTCAAGTCATGAGTATGGTTCTTTGTTTTTTTTTCATTTTCCTTCAAGAGTTTGTTTACGTTGTTACTGCAAATGATTGGAACGCCCATCAATTAGCTACGGGGAAATGTTTGCCGCCAAAAATGTTTATGAGTTAATCAAAGCGCACCATTTTGCTGGAAAAGTCGCTTGGCACTTGCCATATAATAATCCAGTTTAAAGAGTCCACGAGAATACTACGAGCTCAATGTTTTGCTGAATTTTGCTTGCCATTCAATTGTAAAGCGCTCAGGTTTACCAGTTATCGTTGTTTATGACAACATGTTTTAGTCGAACTGATAACTTCAAAAATTGGCTTTTCTTTTCAAACATTCCGTTAATTTTTTGAAAACTCTACTCAATAGTGTATGAATGGTGGGTTCGGAGGATTATAAAATCAGAAAATGATGTTAGAACGTTAATTTTGGGATGTTTATCTTCACTTTCATACGAAATCAGTCGAGCACAACTAAATAAACACCCTATCCCCAATTTCCGTTATAGTACGGATCTTACAACGAGATGCCTTTGTCTTTCTACTTTGTTGTCGTTCAGAAGTATATAGATCAGAGTTCGTGAACAATCGTGTGACCCACGCGGAAAACACATGTTTGTCTTGTCAACAAACATCATTGTGTTTATTGTCGTAAATGAACTTTTTTCAGCCGCGCGTGGGAAGACTACGACTAGTTTGATTGCTGGCAGCAAATTTTGGTAGAGAGTAGCCTTCGAGTGAAACTATATGACATATATTAAATGTATACAAGTTATATTTGTCATATAGTTGTAGTATTTTAAAGTTTGTTTACATTTATCATTGCGTCGAAAATAGCTTAATACCTAGAGTTTTGCACGTCATACAACTCATATTTTCGAAAAATGCCAACTTACAACCAAAAATGAGGTAAAGTCAGAATAGTGAATAGTATTATTGAAAATAAATATTTTACGAAATGAATAGAACCCACCCACTTTACTTGCTTTAAACTTTTAAGACTTGGTAATCAAATTGCGCCCTGCGTGGTTACTTTTCCACTTCATAAATACAGCAAATCCGCAATAGCTACTGGTTCTCATCGGTTCTGTTTTCTTCTTCTACAAATTCATCATCAACCCTCGACCAATTTGGTTTTGCCCAACAAGAGGAAAACACACAGAAAAGAATTAAAGAATCGGAAAAGTGTCTGAGATGGTTTAAGAAAATATTTTCATGCATTCCATTTCACCGCCCCACCATTTCCACCACAAAACATATAAACAAGTTCTTTGTGCTCAACGGCATCAATGTATTGCAATTATGAAGCTTTGAACGAACAACGATAATCGAAAACTCGAAAATACACATATAATGTAGACTGTAAATAAGTGTTTAATTTTAAAATAGATGTAAAAGGCAAAGGTCGGAAAGTAATACTGCTGGATCTGCTTCAGACAAATGCTATTGTATACATAAAACGACATACAATATGTACGGGAACTCCTTCAATACACAAATACTGTTTGTCAATACTTCGATCTTATTATTTTATTTTAATGAGTTTTCATACAGAAATTAGATCATTTAAGAATTATTTTGGTCATAGTTTTACTTGAGGAATTTTCAGTAACTGCATAGACGAAGGTCTGAATAGATACATCCTTTTGCCTGAAGAAGATCTTTAGTGTCTTGCTTTTTCTTTTCCATTTCGGACATGTCTTTTTCTTCCGCAAATTCATTATCCATCCAAAAACCACTTTGGTTTTCCAGAGCAAGACGAAAATACACAAAACAAAAGCAAAAGAGTGACAGTTTTTGAAATAACTTTCATATTTTCAACCAAAAAAAGAGAAACGTGTTCTTCGTGTTTCCAGTTGCAAATGTAGCTACTTATATGACGAGCGTTGGCAATTGCGTTTAAGGTGCAGCTTATATCATCGATACTTAAAAACAAGATGTGTGTGTGCTAAGAACTCAGTGTCACCATATGGGAAGAGTAGTTTTTTCTTTTCAAGGACTTGAGCAAATGTAAGCGCTAATGAACTAAAGACAGCTGAGAAAATATGGGGTGTAGAACAGTTATATGTTGATCTTACCGACACGTTTTAAATTATTGTTAA